TCTTTGGATAATGGACTTTGAAGATTGATATTTCTCACAAATCTGAGGCTACTTTTCTCCCCTTCTTACAATTTTGCTATTTTTACAGTAAGATTTTATTTTAATTTTTGGAAAACATCTTTTTTCTTTTAACAAAAAACTATCAGTATCAACTGGGAGTCTTGAAACAGAAATTTTACATCTGTTTTTATCTTTTTTTTTTTTTTTCTTTTGAAGCAAGAAATGATGCAAACAACACAGGCATTTCTTTCCTGCTCCAATAATTATGCAGAATATTGTTCAGTTATTTAGCATCCCAGTTGACCCAGCTGCTTTCTTTTCTTTTTGATTCTTCTAGCAAGGATGTGTATTCTACTCCTGATATTATCCTGAAGACTCTTCTGGATGAAGCCATACAATGACCAGTGCTCCTTTTTAACCAATGTTTCTCTGAGAGATAGTTGCTGAAACAGTACCAAGTTCACTCATCCAGTATCCACAAAATGAACATTCAGCTAGCTTTGACACTCTCAATCCTTTATGTAGACAGGGAGGGCAAAGAACATTTCTTTGACACTTAATGATTCTGCCTTTTTACCTCTGCTGAAGGAATTACCCTTTGCATTGAGGCAACAGCTGCCCCACTGTGTAAACCAAAGTTCCTCTGGGCGCCTCACAGTCTCTATAGGGAAAAAAATGAGATCTAATGTTTGTGCCCATTTTTCAGAAATGTTGAGTCCATTTGGCCCTGGCTGTCCCCAACCCTCCCTCTAACCACACACTCACCAAATAATACATAAATATAGTCAATCACAACACTGCTGTCAGAGTAGGCTGAGGTTCATGGGCTTTGTCTGGGAGTGTGTGTTGTGGGTTTGCTGGTCCTAGGAGCCACACATAGAGCTTATCTAGAAAATGTGCATGGCGGGGGAGGGGTGGCATGGAATGGAGGCAGAGAGGTTGTTCTACATGCTTTGACTGGCTGATGACTGGGGTGGGATAGGTAGGGAGCTGGCAATATTGCCTTGATCTTTAATCCTTTTCATAATCACTGAAGAAACTCCTTCTCCCATTGCTCATATTCTTGCATCCCTAAATCACAGTCTAAAAGCAAGTGTGCTCAGAGCTAATGGCCAAGACACTTGTATGCCCTGTATCCCAGGACAAATTTGCATACTTAGAAGCAGGGTAAGAAATATCTGCCAGCCCCTTTTCTCCTTAAGCTCTGCCAGGAACTGTCACTCTTCATCCCTGATGGAAAAATAATATTCTGAGTTTCAGCCTAATGAGGATGATGGGAGGTATAGAGTCTTGGAAGCCATATAAGGCAGCTCATTTAGTAAGAGCTATGGGCCAGATAGGGTACCAGACAGGAGTGTACAAGAAGGAAGAAAATCTAGTCCATGCCCACAGAGTTCTCAGTCTTGTAGGGAGCTCATAGGAAATTTGACTACATGGATCTGCTTATATTCTCAATATTATTCTCAATGTTAAGAGCCTCCCAATGTATTTCATGTTGTAAAATATGTAACTAAATTGCAAAGATGATAAAAATAGTCTGAACATACCAAGGGATTGGAACTCTGACTGCAGAGATAGCAAGTAGAGAAGTCATCCCATCCAAGTAGCTAATGGTAATTTATCAACAACTAGTATGTCAAGAAAAACAGCAGATTTGCTGCAAAAAAATAAAAAAAAATAATAATAAAAAAATATATTATAGGAAAGCCTTTTAACTTCTCATAAAATATTAGGCAATTATGAGAAGTAAACATTTATTTTAAAAAGGTATCTTTATAGAGAAAAATTAATCCCTTAGATAACCACATGTTTTATTACCATTGCAAGATAAGGTACTACAATATGAGAAGACAAGTAACAGTGACACAATCTTTTTTTGAGTCACAGTATTGGTGAGGAGATGAAGTTTTGCACATGGAAAAATTAAAGGGATATTGATTCACACTTTAAAATAGTTTTAAAACCTTTTGCCTCATATCTGAAGATTGTATGGACAAAAAAGATGTATGACCACAACCAAGAGGTAAAAAATTGGGTTTAGAGGCTTTTTGTAGTTAATGGGGTGAGGGTGGGGGAGGGACAGAGACAAAGGACTTGAGGTTAGGAATATAGGAAGAGCTGGTCAACTTTTTCTGTGCAAAGAAAAAGCAAAATTCTTTGTAACAATTTTCCCCAAGTGATTTTCTGTAAGCATCAAAAGTCAAAGGATTTCGTATTTTGTCGTTGAAGTGTTTGGGAAATTTTGAGTCTCATATAGATTTGTTTTTTAAAAAAAAGAAATAAAAATTATTTTTCTGACTTTTTTTCTTCACAGCAAAAAGTTCAGACTGTATGGAAAACAATAAAGAGAAAAGCAAAAATCACCTGTAATCCTACTACACAGAAAAAAATCAATATTAACATCTTGATGTATATTCTTTTAAACACTTTTCTATGCAAGTATATACATATGTTAACATATGCTTTTTAAAAAATGAAATCATACTAGGCATAATGCTTTCTAATAAATTTTTTACTTAATAATATCTCATTTTGGATCTCAGTAAATATAGATTTAAATTAGAATAGTGAGTTGAGTTATGTCCGTCCAAAATTGATGATCATTCAGAACCTGAGACTGTGACCAGATTGGGAAATAGCATCTTTGAAATTTAGAGGTCTAGAGATGAAATCATACTGGACTTAGGGTGGACCATAAATCCAATGACTAGTAGCCTTATAACGGAAAGGAGAGGAAGATTTGGACAGAGAGAGAGACAGACAGGGCAATGTAAAGATGAGTCAGAGATTGAAGTGATGCTACCATAAGCCAAGGAATGCCTGGAGATACTAGAAGCTAGAGGATACAAGAAGGATTCTCCCCTAAAGCCTTAAGGGATAATTTGGCCCTGCTTCTCGATTTTGGACCTCTGGCCTACAGAACAGTGAGAGAATAAATCTTATTGATTTAAGCCACAAAATGTGTGATTATTTATTACAGTAGCCTTCGGAAACCAATACAATTAACATTTTTATTGGCTGCATAGCATTTACTGTATTCCACTCCATATGGATGTACCATAGGGAATGTAATACAATGATGGACATTGTTAATGGACATTTAGGTTATTTCCAGTTTTTCACTATTGTAGACAATACTACAATGAACATTCTTGTCCAGGCGACTTTATGCCCTTTTATGGAGAAGGAATATAGCTTAATTGTTAACAGCATGGGTTCCAAAGCCAAAGTCAGACTGCCTGGCTCCATCACTTACTATCTATTACCCTGAACAGCAACTTAACTAGAGACTTTTTATTATATGGAAAGATTTTTTTTTGGCAGTGTCTGACATACAATAAGTACTAAATAAATGTTTTCTTTTTATGATAAGTTGTCAGAGATGAATAATTTTTTCTAGATCAAAGAAGAGATAGATACATTTTCAAAAATCAATGCAATTATAAAAGGCTTAGTAATAAATCTAATAAGCATCAGAATTCACTTTTCTTCACAGGCATACGCATTTTCATAGAAAAAATTGTAGTGCCAAAGCCTATGAACACTTAATTTCTAACATCTTTAACAAAACAAAGAAAGCTCATTAGTAATTTATTTTCATTGACTTTGAAAAGGCAATGATTAATTGTTCAACACATCGACATTTAAGTCAGACTACGTCTGATTTCAGCCCTGGTTCCGCCACCTTTTAATCTGGGAAAAATTACTAAATTTATATGCTCCTCAGTTTTTTAGCTACGTACTGGGATAGTTACCTCAATCTCATTAGGGTTATCATAACAATTAACTGAGTTACTTTATGCAAAGTGTCTAGTACAGAACCTGTAATAAATTAGAGGCATAAAATACTGTGTTATTTCTAAAAAATTAATGTCTAAGAAAACAAAGAAGAATAGTTTATTGAATAAAGAAGACCATCCTTTGATATTTGCAATCACTTCATATATGAATAATGAATACAGGCAGTCTACAAAAGCTTTTTGATCTTGTACCCCATAAGTAAAAAAATTTGTACCATGTACCTCCAACATATTATATTTGTTTATAAATTACAAATATGTACAATAATATTCATATGTACATTATAAAACTCAAAAACAAAAATTTTTTAAATGAGATAAAAATTTTAAAGTTCTGGCATTTTTTCCACATTTTAGTGGATCATCTTGAACATCACCCAACCTGGGTTCACACACTGCACCTTGAAGATCCCTGATGATACAATATTCTCAAATACAAGTGTACATAGGGATGTGATGGGCTCAAGGATTTGTTGATCATCAAATGCACATGAAACTAACCAGTGAAGTATTTCTGGAGGATGTGAATGCCTGTCTGGTACACACCCACTTGCTCATTTGTCAAGATTTGGTTCTAAGGCCTTCCCCTGCATGAAACCTCTCCTGGATTCTTCAAGTAGAACTGACAACTGCTTCCCTTGGATTCCCCTATTCCTATGCAGATATTTAGCATAACATCTGTAACATTCGACTGTATTTATTAGCTTCTCTGTCTCTCTTCCAATCTTGACTGTCAGCCTCTCAAAGGCAGGGATTATGTCTTATTCTTCATTGGTTTGCTAGTACTCGTTAAAGAGTAGATCCTTAATAAATAGTTACGGAGTGAATGAACTGACAAAACTAGATGGCAATACAGTACATAAAAATTAGGGTGTCCCGGAAGCAATAGAAGAAAAAACAGAAAATGCTATGAATGCTAACTAGAGCCTCTTCGACATAAAATGATGTCTAATTAGATTGTAAAGTCTGACTTGTCTGCAGAAAATTTCTCAGAATTTCACAGTGAATTCTCCAGATACTGCAATGGAATTCTTGGTTGCTTCGCTCCTCTGCACAGCTCTTCCTCTGCTCTACAGAGGAGGAGAGTTAGGCCTGGATGGGGATGTTTACGTATTTGCTAATCATTTGTTTGTTTTCTCTCTGAGCTCAGTTCTGCCTGCCAAGAATAGCTCAGAATGACAATCATTTTCATGCTTTCAGTTAAACAAAGGCTCCAGAAGGACATGGAAGAAGGGAACAAAGCCAGAAGTTTAACATCAACAACAAGAAGGAAAAAGAAGAAAGTTAAATATCCTGCTCCCTATTTGTTGCTATCCCATCTCAGCGTTTTTAGTACTCCTGTTCACCTGAAATTGGAACGTTGTGGGTAGGTTGGAACGGGCAGGCCTTAAATAGTTACAGTAAATAAGAGTCTGGGATTTCACCCTATGATTATATCCCTTGAAAGTCATTTGTATTTTAAAATTTCTGTCTCTCATCACCCCTTCCTCTTGTCTGTTATGTTAACTTGAAGCCACAACTAGTAACTGTTAGAAAAATTTATTTCCATATCTGTTTCCCTTAAGTGTTGTTTTCCAAAATGAGTTCTATGAAATGTCCATAGATGCTCCATGAAAAAAAAGTTCTGTGGTTAAATGTTTGAGAAATTTGTGGTTACATAAGTTAAACAAATTTCTTTGCAACAGGTCTTCTCATGTCCTTTAATTTTCCAATGTACCTGGTCAATCTCTAAGAGGAAACATAGTTTGCACCACAGAACCCTCTTTTTCTGGAATCATCTGGCCAGACTAGTGTTCTAATTATTACACTTTAAGATATACCACCCTTTTGATTTAGGGTTTAGTTTAAACTAGGAACTATTGACATCAGAGGCACAGACATTCAGAACTACCTTGGTCATTTGGATTGGTGTGCAGCTCTTGACAACATAGGGGAAATATCACAAAAGAACTTTCCCAAAGATTCTTCCTGTGAGCTGATATGCCAGTCCTGCAGAAAGAGATAGGTTAGAAAAATAGCCTGATGGAAGGGCAAAAGGACCTAAACTGGCCACCATGGTTTTAGGAATATGCATCTCAGGACCTAATATGTGCATTTAATCTCTCAGAAGTTGCTTATCAGAAGAATTCCCTTCTCTCTTGGGGTGCTTTCATGAAGAAGCCCTGTTTTGCTATTTTTACTCCCACCGACCCACCCCCACACAGAGCCTTAGTATTATATACAGCTTTTGTTTACACTGTGTTCCCACCAACAATATCACCTCTCCACCTACCTCATTACTACATAGTCTTTCTCTTGCTACTGTGTGACTTCCCTTTCTACCCACTGTAGCACGCCTTTATTTCTCTGAACACTCACACTATTTCATGTCTATACCAGATGTCAGAAAAATATGGTCTTCCATCCAAATCCAGCCTGCCATCTATTTTTGTAAATATAATTTTATTGGAACAAAGTCACACTCATTCATTTATGTATTGTTTATAGCTGCTTTTTCTCTATAAGGGCAAAATTGAATAGTTGAGCCAGTGACCATAGAACATACAAACCTAATATAATTACTATTTGTCTTTTACAGAAAAATTTGCCAAACTCTGTCTATACCATTTCTTTAGTATTTGTCATATGCAGCCTTACTTCGTGTGTGACTCACATTTGGATGTTTTGTGCCTTCTCAATGAGTTTTAAGGCCACTGAGAGCAAGGTCTATGATTTGTACTTTTCTGAACCCTTTGTAAAACCTATGTCAGGTTTTCATAGGTTATCAACAAACATTAGCTAATCATTGATTTTTTTATCGATTTTTTTTGAAAGAGCCAATTCATCCAAATTCTTTATAAAATGTCTCTTGTACCAAAAAGGAGAAAGTAAATGATGTTATTTTTATATCATTTCAGTCTAGTGGTTTGCCATAGGAAGTGGGTATGAGCTGTTTAAGTTGGTTAGCTTTGAATTTTTCTGAAAGTAAAATAAACCTCAAAGGAACAGCCATGTGTCTTCCAGGTTGCTTGGAAAATATTATCCTTTCTATATACAAATTACAGAAAGTTTCCTCATCTACCATATATTGATTCCAACTATCCCAAACAGTTACAAAATACACGCACACACACACACACACACACATACACACTTCTGAAGGGCTCTGTAAATACTAGCAAACAGAATGTGGACTGACAAAAATCAATCAGTGCATTCTCTGATAGCCATTACGCTGATCTTCCTTACGGCCACTTGGAGGAATAAGTAGCCTGGCTAAGACCTATGGTCCCAGGCAGGACTGCTCTGCAGTGGCCTGTTTTAATTCTGGAAGTTGCCTATGTGAATGAGCCTCTGACATATCAGACTGGAAGAGACGAAGCTCTTTGCATGGCCATACAATCTGTTTTGGAAGACTTCGCTGGCTAACATTTGTGAGGGCAAATGAAAATCATAAGCTAAAAGTGATGAGAGATGACTCCTTTCAAAAGCCAACAAAGAAATGCTCTTATTAGCATCTTTTATACACCCAGATGGGGTTAAATCGGCCACTCAAAATGCTTATTTAGTTTGCTCAGTACCAAGAAGTGGTTCCTAATGTTGTGTGCATGATTGACACACACATGTCTAAACTTCTCATGGCTCCACGTGGTTGCATGTGCCGGGCTGAATTATTAGTTTGTGTAAATCACCTACAATTTGTTCTCTACCCACAAATACAAGTGTCTGAAAAAAGGAAAGGAAATATTCTCAGAGCTCTCCTGCAGCAGGTTTCCGGCTCCACCACTTCCATTCAGGTTGACTTGTCTTTGTTTCTGAATAAATGTAAGGGCTGACTGGGGGTTAGATGTGATGATCTTCCCCTGGCCTGGCCCTGGTTGGTGGCCCAAGCAGAAAGAGTCCGATTTTTCTATTGTAAAATTGCAGCAGCAGATATGTTTGAATCTATTTAAAATAGCCTTTTTATAATATAACAATTTTTTGTAGGTATAATTTTCAGGGTGCCTACTGGTTGAGAGATGATAGAACTTATTCATAGAATTTACACTCTAGTAGTTTTGATAAATCTATAACATGTTGAAAAGGAGTTTTGTGGAAAAGTAAACATTATTCATCAGGGCTTTAGTTTCCTTTATATTTTGCTGTCAGCTGAGCAATATTATAAGTTGTTTGTTTGATTTTTATGTATATATCATTTATTTGGCTTGCTTTCTAGATCTTTTACCTAATCAAATCCACGTAAGAACAGTACTTAAAGCAACTCTAAATATGGCATGGGGGGAAATGTGTATATCCTTTTCTTTATATTATCTTTTGTTCACACACTGAGGGCTATGGAAGGCAAAATGTGGTGAGGTGCTATTTTATAGCATGTTTAATGCTTATCAGTAATTTTTTTCCTCTGACCTTCTGCCTCAGACAATTAATTTTGTTGAACTGCTCACACACTAGAGGAACATTAGAGGGAAAAATAATGTTAGTACTAGTGAATATAATCTTGGAAGAAAAGCTGTGCAATTATTCAAAGACCTAATCTTATCTCTTGTTTCATTTTTATATCACAAGTCTACATTTAAAAGTATTAGATATACTGTTCTGCTGTCCCACACCTTCAAACCCCAGTAAATAAATGCTGCTAAGTGCCACCAGGAGTGAAAGAGCTTGTAATGAGAAGTGTGAAGAGATGTGTGCTCCATTCATCATTCTGTTCAGTCCAATATTGAGGCTCTTGTTATCAGCAGGATTCGTGGCGGTGTCATCGCAGCTGGCATAAATCTTCTGTCAGTGTGGGTCGGACTGATGCCCTATTAAAACTCTGCTTTCAGCTAATCACAGAATGACCTTTCGATGTCTTTAATTAACCTCTGACCTGAACCATGCCAATGTCTTGTTGGTAGGTAAATCTATGGCATGACATTTGCTTATGACACTACATTTGTCTTGGTTTAATCAGCGTACCTTTCAGATTATGGCTTGAATGAAATACAGTTGGGATCCCTGCTAATAGTTGGATTAATTTTTAAAAGGTTAGAACATAATATTTTCCTCTGAGCTCCCAGTGATATCTTTGCAGACATTTCCCCATGGGGAGTTGGGAGCCCCCGTTAAAGTAAATTCAGGTGAGCCTTCAATTTCACCAATAACGTCATCTTTTCTATCTAAAGTTATTCCTTTTGAGTGGCCTAGGGAGCCAGAAGCATTGTAGATCCTATGATGACCAGAAAACAAAAGATTTAAAATATAATCTAGTCTCACTTGTCCAAGACGATGGAATGTAGCAGTGGGGTACAATTAAAAGAAAGAAAGAAAAAAGGAGAGAGGGAGGGAAGACTTTAATCACATTTTGTGAATGTGCTTTTTTACTCTAATATGTGAGTGCCTCAGGTCCCGAGACCTCTCTGAATAAGAAAAATCTCATCTATATCTCATTTCTCCACTAAGAGAAATCCTGTTAGTGATTTCCTTTCTGAATTAGTAATGATTACAAATGTAAAATATTTACAAAGAAGTATACTTTTCTTACATACAAGTATAATTATAAAGTGACAAGTGGTTACAAACTCATTTAAATTGACTAGATATTTTTTAATGGCAAGTTGTGATTGCCCTATAAATCATAACATTATACAAATAAAATAAAACTTTTGAGCTACATAAGATTTGTCTAATTTTATGCTCAATCAAAAGCCCCATGAAGGGCTTAGACAAGATGATCTCTCAGATCTTTTTTAGCTGTAAATGTCTATGATTCGGTGTCTCCATGTTACAAATTTGGGGTTTATTGAATCTGAATTCAAAAGGTTTTCCTATCTTTCAAATACAATTTAAAAGCTATATTGACTTTAGGAGGTAGAAAGTTTTCAAGTGTCCCACCTGCTTTTTCCCTCTTCTCTGCCTTGTCCTTTTACCTGAGCCTTTGTTGACTCACCTGTAAATTCAGAATAATAATACCTACCGATAGAATTGCTTTAAAGATTAGGGAAAATGGACATATAACACCTAAAACAGTGTCTGGCACACAGTGATGCACAATTCACTGTTGGTGCTGGTGGATCTAGTAGAATCTGCAGCATTTGTTAATAGATATTACCTCTTATGTTGATACACTAGCCAAACCTAATCTTTTTTCTTAAAAAAATTATACAATTTAATAGTTAACAAATTTGAAGTCACTCCTGGGTTCAAATATGTGCTCTGTCAGCAACTTACTGATTGTATGATCATAAGCAATTTACTTAAGCTTCCACAGTTTCTCATCTATAAAAAGGGAAAATAATTGTATCTAATTGGTGGACCTCTTGGATGAAAGGCATCATGTCTGATTTTGCTCCATATTTTATTGCCATTACCTAGAATGGTAGTTGGCACACCATAAGCACTCAGTAAATACTAAGATTTAACTATTAGGTACAATTATCATATTATTTAATTACATATTAACATTACACATTGTCTATCATCATTATCATCATTATCATTATCATCATTATCATTATCATTATCATCAATAAACTTGTTCTATTTCTATCTCATATCATCTTTGGTTTATAAGTGGTAGTTACATCTTTTTTAAAAAGTAGGTTTTGGTTAATTCTAGGCTAAAGTGAGGAAAGTGATGTCCACTAATGATATTATCTATTTGCTTAATTATGTATTTATTTAAGAAGTATTTACTATGTCAGCCTCTGGGGATACGATGGAA